TGGGGAGGTTTGCAAAGTGCAAAAAGTTTTTTTTTCTCTTTTGGAAAGCTCTTTAACTGATTGTTGAGAATTACATTGATCAAGTGCTGTGCCAGCAGAAACAAAGTCTTAGGTGCTGCAGATTGTCAGTGATTTCCTTCTCCAGCACATGGATAAATACACCTGGAAACACCTACCTACCTACCTATCTACCTACCTACACTCTCTCCCTCTCTCTCTCCTCCTACCTACCTACTGTATTTTTCTCTCTCTATCCCTGTGTCTACCTACCTACCAACCTGCCCTCTCTCTCTCCCTACCTATCTACTGTATTTCTCTCTCTCTCTATTTCTCTCTCTCTATTCTTCTACCTACCAACCTATCTACTCTCTCTCTCTCCCTTCCTTCCTACTTTATTTCTCTCTCTTTCTCTCTCTTTCTCTCTATCTCTCTCTTTCTCTCTATCCCTCTATCTACCTACCTACTTTTTTAAAAATTTGCCTCTTCAAAACCTTGGTGCGTCTTATACTCCGATACATCTTATACTCTGAAAAATATGATAATTGTTTCTGAATAGTCTAAACATGGTGAAATCATGAGTAGAGAGATAAATAAATGAATGGTCCAATAATACATATACGTTAACTGTACCATACCCGGCCTCTGAGGAGTTCATAGGCTGTAATTCCTAATGACCACCAATCAACAGCATAGGAATAACCTGAAGTTTTTGTAGCAGTAAACATCTCAGGTGCTGCAAAAAAAGAGAAATTTAAAATTTGCCTTAGGATGGAATATTCAACAAGAGAAGTGATTTTCTTTCTATAGTCTAATCAGTAGTGGTATTTAGACAGTTCACTGCGGTTCAGGCGAACCAGTTGTTAAATTACCCATCCCTCGCTATCGAAATGGATCCTGGACACTGCACTGCACTGCAATGGAAAAACAGGCAATGGAGTGGCCGGCATGAGGAAAGGAGAAGTCCGCTTTCCCTCTTTCTTTTCCCTGCTCCTCCTCCTTCCCTTGTGCTGGCCACTCCATCGTCCATTTCTCCATTGCAGCACCACACTCAGGATCCACTTTGATAGGTTTGCCAACTTAATTACTCGCCCCTCTCATTTTTGCCGGTAGACTGACCAACACCTCCTGCATGCAGCTCCATGGGGGGGGGGAATATCTCCCTCCACTTCCCCCTAATTTTTCACCTTCCCGATCCAGCTCTCAAGAGCATCAACTCCTTGTCTCTATGGTAATTCCCCCCCTTGTTCCTCAGAAACCTTGCCTCTTAAAGGAGCTGCGTCCAGAAGGCTGAAATAGTCATGAGACCAACCTGCACACAAGCACCCTTCGAAACAGCCTTTTTGGCAAAAGGGTGGAAATTTAACAACCGGTTCGCCCGGTCAGGTTGGCTGTCGTGGGAGGCATGTGCGGCAGAGCTGGAGGATGGGCATGGGCCACGCCTCCCACGACAACCAACCTGACCCTGGGTGAACCAGTTGTTAAATTATTTGAATCCCACCACTGAGTCTAATAAAAGTTCTCATAAGAAATTCTCTCTAGGGTTATGCAATAAGCAACCTCGGCACATCTTCGGATGCTGCAGAATAGACGTCAGTGTGAACTTCTTCATTTATGGCCTTGTTGGCTTCCCTGAGATGTCTGGGTGATCTGAATGAGAAGAGAATGCTGGGATAGATAATATTTTGTCAGACTCTCTTATGTGTGAATTATTCGAAAGTAAGGAGAAACAATTTGCTTCTTTTTTCAGTTGATTTTAATTTGGACCATCATACTGCTAACTCTTTAATCAGAATCATGCTATTCTAATAATGGTATTTGGAGGAGATCCAGTCAGACTTAGGGCAAAATTGCATTGCCTAGTAATTAAAAGAGGAAGTTTACTATATCTTATTTAAAAAATTTAAAAACATGAGAACCAACAGACTTTCCCAAGTTCTTCAAAAAACAGCTGTTCAGAAGGTCACCACACAATGTACTGTACTTTGTGCCTTGAACTCTTTGCTCTTACTCTCCATAAAGCTTTTCACACCTCTCTCTCACATCCTCACACATTTTGACTAACTCATTACTTATTTGATATAGAAACAAAAGCATGTTGTTGTTGTTGTTGTTGAAGATGACATTTTGCACTTGCTGAATAGGTACACGCATAATAAGATGAAGCCTGTACATAATTCAAGTCATCTGAAACATTCCATCACCCTCTAGCCCATTGAAATATTCCAATGCACTTTTAAAGTGAAATATAATATAGAGAGAGCAAATAGGAGACAACTATATACTGATTNCCCCCCCCCACCTCTGCCTCGCTGCAGAGGTGCCCAATGTGGGGATTTTCACCGGGTGTGGAAGGAGGTTTTGCTATGGCCGTCCCTGGCACCCCGATTTCTGCTCTTCCTCCTTAGAACATGATGCTCCCAGCTGGGCTCCGGCAGCGGGATCAGACCAAGAAAGACCCCACGGGACCCCTGGACCGAGACGCCCTCATGCAACACCTGGAGAAGCAGGCGATAGAGGCCAAGGAGCGGGAGGACCTGGTGCCTTTCACGGGGGAGAAGAAAGGTAAGGACCAACGTTACCCACTTGGGTACCACTCTCCATGCGGGGCAAGGCTTGGATGAAGCCTGGGCTCCCTCCTCCCCTCCCCAGGGGGTTTTGGGACCCAGAGGGGGGGGAGGGGGCAGCCAGCCCCCACCGGGGCAGAGAAAGCAAGGAGGGGATTTGCCAGCCGAAAAGGATTCTCTGCCCGCCTCTATTAGGGGAGTCCATCCCTCTCTTGGAGTAAAAAACTAAGATATTCCTGGGGGGAAAAAACACCCCTCTATCCTTTCCGCTCCTTCTGCTTCCTGTGGATTCATTGCTTCTACCAATAAAGGAGAATATTTGAGGCTCCAGGTTGAAGTGGGCTCTCGGTGCTTAATTGTTTTCTTGCGAGCGTTTCGTGACCCAGCAGGTAACGTCATCCGTGCTAGTGGGGTGAGCTGCAAAATGCTCCTTCTGGCACCGATGATGGGTTGGTTCAAGAAAAAACGCCTGCAAGAAAACCACCGAGCTCAGAGACCACCAGGGACCCCACAGTCCTCCTCCTCCTCCTCTTCCTTCCTCCCCTCCCTTCTTCTTCCTCCTCTCCACAATCCCCCACTCCCTTCCTGCACTGATGATGTTATCTAGCTGGGTCATGAAACGCCTGCAAGAAAACCACCGAGCTCAGAGACCACCAGGGACCCCACAGTCCTCCTCCTCCTCCTCTTCCTCCCCCCCCCTTCTTCTTCNACTCCTTGGGATCCACTGAATATTGATCCCTTCGTTGCAATTAGGAATTGACTGATTTGCAACACACAAAGAGATGGTTTGCAACTTCACAATTTGGGGCAAAGAGTTGGGAAAGTCGTGAAGGTGCCTAAAAAGGCGGGGAGGGGGCTGCTCCAGCTGTGGTTCGACCCCTCCTGCCAGGGGCTACCGCCTCAAATCTGGCTACAGCACCCGGGAAAAACCCATCGCCCAGCTGAGACTTCTTCCTGACAGCTTAGATTTCCAACTCTGGCTAAAATCCCAGCAATGGTTGCTCAACATTTCTCAAGACGTAAAGGAGGCCTGGGGGGGAACTGGATCCCTGGCAGTAGAGCTGGTGGGAGTAGAGCCAGCTGCCCCATAGCTCACTCAACACCCTTCTCCTTCCTGCAGCTGGCCCACCCAAAAGGCCAAGACTTTCCAGCCAGCTCAAAAACCCTGGAGGGTGCTAAGTGTTTTTTCCCCCCCGCACGGATTCCTTAGCCCAGATGCCCCAAACAATGAGGGAATTTCCGAAGGGAGGCATCAGAGGGATGAGGCAAGGGTCGACCAGCTGTCCCCCAAATTCCAGGTGGCACAGTTGCGGAGATGAGGATGATAGAGCATAGATCATGAGGCAGGGAGTTCCGTGGACTAGAATAGTTCCCCCTCTTGCTCCGTGAGCTTGTCTGCAGCATGTTCTTTGGGATCCCCCCCCCCCCGTAAGGGGTAACTTTTGGCTGGGTTTTCTCGTAGGGGAGACCATCCGCCGACGCCCACCATGACGACTTCGTACCGGCAAGAGCTGGAGAAATACCGAGATATCGATGAAGACAAACTCCTCAAGGAACTCTCCCCGGAGGAGCTGGACCAGCTCGATCTGGAGCTGCAGGAAATGGATCCAGAAGTGAGATTCAGGGTCTGCAGCGGGGTGGGGGGGAAAGGGACTCTGGATTTCATCCTTGAAACTCTCCAAATCCAACGGATCGGAGACGATCCTGGAGCCTCTTCGGTTGAGGGATTGGGACGCCGGGCTGTCCTGCCCCCAAAATGCCACAATTGTGCCATCTCAGCTTTTGGGGAGAACCACAAAATTGTGGCTTGTTTACCATATTTTTCGGAGTATAAGACGCACCAAGGTTTCGAAGAGGCAAATTTAAAAAAAAAAGTTTTTCCACTCTGCAGAACTCCCAAAAACGGCTTGTTTTGGTTTTTTTTTTTTCAAAAAAAGGGGGCATGAATAGCCTTTAGGAGGCTTGCAGAGTGCTCCTGGGGGCTGGGGACAAAAAACAGCTGGTTTTTCCCCTCATTTTTG